ACCTTATCGAAGGGTTCTACTGTATAGACAAGAACAAGTGCCTGACCTCGGTAAACGACAAAGAAAATGCCCATGTCAACCGATGTATTTGTATTGCTGTCAACGCGTCTAACGAAAACAAGTAGTAACATTATAGTTATTTGTTAGAAAAATGCCGTGATATCAAGATTGTAGTCACCAAGACAGGTCTTTATAATCAAAACCGAAGATATCACACCTGTTGTTATCAGTGCCTTTAATCTCGCATGTTCGTTGTTGAGGAACTGTCCTCCAATATTTAGCCAACTGCACCATTTTCCCAGCATCCATGAGGCCGAAGCCATAAAACTTGCTGACTGCTAAGCCAGCTTTGTTCTTTACCCAGAATCCATTGGCGAGTGGAACTCCTCCTGGTGCTGATCTTGCGCTTCTAACTATGACGTGTTGTACGTCACGCCATGTTAATGAAGGACTGTTGAAAGGGAAAACATGTCTTTTATCAAACAATTTAGTCCTCTGGCTTGGAATAGTGACGCTTAAGGAAGTGTCAAGCAGAGAGCCCCCACCCCAACATTTCAAGGTCTACCCTACTTCATATGACAAAACGATAAGCTTTCGTAGATAAGCCGTCCGTGCTGATCAAGCAGAACAATTTAGCCAAAGAAGCCAGTTAAGTTCTCGTTACAGTTCAAGGTTTTCAGAGATCACATTGAGATGTGTTGCAATTTGATTGAAAAGGCCGTTTGCATGATAGACCTCCTTTTTTTAGGCCTGTTCTGGGTGTTCAAATGATTGGGAGAGTACGAAGAGGAGTTTGGGAGACCGAAAAGTTCTCATTGAAATTTCGAAATCTTCCGTGGCTATATTTTGGAATTTCTATTGATCATATTTACTAAAATATAAATATTAATTTAGCAATAACAATTTCAAAATGAGACGTACTTTGATTCAAGGGCTAATGCAATCAGACCAGAGGCCATGGCTGCAGCTGCTGAGGTTCCTCCAAAATTATCAACACATCCAGATTGTCTATCAGCAGTCACCTAGTATGAAATGAATTTGCCACCTGGGGTATTATCTTACATTATCAAACACAAAATGATATCGTCATCGGTTAGATTCAATCAGGTAATTATATCTTTGCTAAATTTAAATTAGTTTGAGCAGCATTTATCGCATTGTGTCGTGATAAAAAAGGCGATGATGATGAGTAACCATGACGATAACCTGACTATTCAATAGTGTCATGTTAGGGACGGACCATTAGAAAAGTTTAGGGGGGTGTGGGGAACTTCCGAGCCGCATGAAATTTTATTCGTTAACATTTCCCTTGTATGAATTCAGTACGAGGCCAGTTCATGAATATTTTTTAAGGTTACTTGGTGTGCGTGTGTTTTTTGTACTTCGGTCGCCCCGCCGATATGTTTTCAAATGGTCCATCCCTTACACCTGTATTTATGCTTAAAATACTAAATATAAAATTGTTTTCAACAGAAATCTCAGTTTTCAACAGTCTAGTCGCTGATCAGCCAATACCACTATTTCAAGTGCTCCTAACTATTTTTTGTTTTTAAAAGCTGTTGTCAAGTACTTATAGGCTATTCATGTTAATGATATTGTATATTTCCTAGGTCTTATCTAATAATTCTTTTAAGAGATTTAGTCTGTTAGTTGTCTAATATTGTAACTATTTTATCCTTAGTTTTCATTTCATCTCTGTATTGTAACTGATTTTACACGACGCTAAAAGCATTGTGCTTTAAGTTGTATTCTGTTAAAATAAAGGGCATGGCCGATGAGGATGAGGATGATGATGATGATGACGACAAAGTTAGATTCTCTTGTGAGGGGAAAAGGAAAAGAAAAAGGAGGAGGAAAGGGAAGGTGGAAAAAGTTGAAGGATAGCTGTCAAACAACTTTGGTTCTACTTACAACTTTTCCTTTGATACCGTTGGTGCTATATGAAGAAGCCATGATTCCTGCGCACTCCTCAGCGTACATTGGAAGAGAGCCATCCAGATTCACCCCACTGATTGCAATGGTGTAAATACTATTAACATAACCGTTATAACCACAGCAATCTCCAGCAAAGCCACCATTCCCTGATGAAAATACGTAAATAGCACCCAGTCCCCCACGACCCTGAAATAAAATTTATTTTCAGATTTACCGGACACAATTTCCTACACATGGCGGTCTTTCTCAAAGAGAAAGTTCGCGGTAGTTTGATTGAGAATGACGGGATGACAGTAGAGACTTCATGTGGGTTTGACTTTGTCCTTGGTTCTCGCGGGAGAAAGAACGGAATAAATAGAGGATATTACATGGCGCGGAGATACGAAATTTCTCTTCGAGTGTTGAAAAATATTTTTTCAACACGAGAAGAGAAATTTCCTATCTCCAAGCGGCCATGTAATGTTCTGTTTATTATATAACCACCAATGAAATGCCAAACTATTTCACTTTAATAGCTTTTTGGTGTGAAAGGGGCGATTTATTATGTAGCCATAGCAACGGTGATGTTTTCACATGCGAAGATAACATGTTATTTTCACATGTGAAGATATTAAGTTTTCGCAAGAAAGTTCGCCTGGAATTTGATCGGTGTTTATATTATAAGAAGGGTATTTTTACACTTTAATATGAATAGTATTGCTGAAGCGAACAAATAAAACGACGACAAGCACCTCAAAGTTAACAAAACGTATTTTTTAACACGTTCAGTAGACTCGGTTTTTAACAACACCCTCGTTTTTTTCACTTGATTTTGGTCGATAAGAGTACAGACCATGGGAAATTGTTGCCAATTTGTTAAATTTCGCCTCATGCTTGCTTGCTTGTGGAATCCGGAATCCTGGGATTTGGATTTCCGAATACAGCTCAAGGAATCCGGAAAGTCTCTCTAAGGATTGCATTCCAGAATCCAAGTTCAACTGACAAAGACTGCAAACCAGTACCCGGAATCCAGAATCCACGGCGTGGAATCTAGAATCCAAGACTGCCTTGGGTACCCTTACATAGGGCGATAAATTGTTTTCATGCTTAGAGAAAGTTGACAACGTGACCAACTGTTGGAAAAGGTCTATTGATACCTTCTGTATGCCGCGTTCTATGGCTTTACCGGCCAACACTCCTGGGCCTTGGACTTGCCAGCCTATGTCCCCAGGTCCCCAGCTGTTTGAATATATGTCAATCACGTCTGTTCTGTAAGAAAAAGCCCCTGACTCTGTGGCATCGGTTGACCTGATTCCTTGATCGAAAATGCGAAGACCTAAGGCAAGAAATATTTAAATCTAACAAAATTCAAACAGCAGGAACTGCCACTAAATAGAGTGAAATATAAAATGATAAAAATTACCACTTAAAATGTTAAAGAAAGGTATAAATAACACAGCTAACACGAAAGGAGGCACGGTTGGAAAAACGTGAAGAAGATTGAAACGGATTGTATGACAATGTGATTGTGGTTATTGAAAGGCTGTTGACCCTAACAGTCTTTCAAAGTTCCCACTATTAATAACGTTTTAAAAAAGGCTCGGGAGACATATTTGATTTAAAGGAAGCTGTGATTACGTTATTCACAATTAATTCTAAAGATTCATTACGCGAATAAAGAGTTAGTATATAGGTAATAGCATGATTTGTAGTGATATTTGGCATAACTACCCCGAGTGATATTTCGAAATTGTTATACGTAATTTCACGAGCCTTTAGGAGAGTGAAATTTGGGACAATTTTGAAATATCAAGAGTGGTATTTGAGCCAAATATCACGTATAAATCATGCTATTATTTGTTTATAACCGCAAAAGGTTTGTAATTTTCACATGTAGGTATTCAAATTAAGCTGAAATACCACTGCTCTAAGCCAACCAAATTGCAGAAATTTGTCTTGTAGTAGTATAAAGTCAGTAATTCAGTTGTCATTTATACTACTACATGGAAAATTTCTGCAATTTGATTGGCTTAGAGCAGTGGTATTTCAGCTTAATTTGAAATACCTACATGTGAAAATTACAAACCCTTTGTGGGTAGTAGTATTTAACAATTATTCGCCGAAGGCTCAGTTAATATTGTTGAATAATCCCCGAGACGAAGTCGAGGGGATTATTCAACAATATTAACTGAGCCTGAGATGAATAATTGTTTTAGCATATTCACACGAAGTGATCTCAACAGAATCAGAAAGGAAGCCATTGAAAAACCATTAGTTTGATTGACGGGTGAATTCATGCATGAACAACAGTGGATGCTCAAAAGTTAGATCTTTACAGTATCTTCAAAAATGGCAAATGATAGTTTTAATCTTTTTGTATCGAGTTTTGTAAGCTTTAATTTAGCATCAACGGTTTAAAAGAAAACGCCGAAAATTTATATTACTACCCAATTCTGAGAGGAAAAGTAGAGCTTTATTTGTTTCTGTTAACTCACCGTGAATGAGAAAGTTTTCTTTGTCGCTTCTTGTAAATGCTGTCAACAGCGGCTACGATCAAGGTGAGCGTTGTTTATCTCCAATGTTCTTTGCCTTGTTAACTTGCTGGCACGTACAATTTTCCAAAATATTTGCCTTCCTCTTTTCTCCCATCCTCGGAGACCCAGGGGAAGATAGTGGGGGCGAGGGAAAGTCTAAACGGGCGGAAAAATAAGGCACGAAGAAAAGTAAAGAACGACGAGAAGAGCCCCTGGGGACAATGTCTTGCCAGACCAGTTCCAAACGGTCGCCGCCGTTCTGGCTTCTGATTGGTGCCAGAAAACTTGTGTTTTTCTGGCACCAATCAGAAGCCGGAACGGCGGCGACCGTTTGGAACTGGTCTGGCAAGACATTGTCCCCAGGGGCTCTTCTCGCCGTTCTTTACTTTTCGTTTGTGCCATATTTTTCCGCCTGTTTAGACTTTCCCTCGGCTGCACTATCTGCCCCTGGGTCTTCGAGGATGCTTTTCTCCAAAAATAAACTTCTATTTATAGGCAAAATTGGTCTTGCGAGAAAATCCCGAAATCACAAAACAGTGACAAAATGGCCTCGTTTTCCTCTGTAGTGGTAAACATAGCTTCGAGCGTACAAAAAGTCAGCTACAGTTAACCACTTCACAATAGATCACGCTGTTTAAACACCATGAAGTCTTTTCTTGCCTTCAAAGTCATCAGCACTTGGATATTCGTGTATTTTCAAAAAGGCTTTACTATGAAACTTTGGCAAAACACCCGGTTCACGACAGCGAATTTGTTCTGCTTTATATTCACCACCTAGCACGGTGAATATAACGTAATAGTCGGGGATAGCGAACCAATCAGATTGCTTGAATTACCAAGATCACTGAGTGTGTATATACTAAGATGTAATTATGATAAAACAAAACGTTGAATTCGAAAACTGATGCAATAGTACCTGAATTTTTATCAGGTTTGCTTTGAAATATTACACTTAAGCACCCTGTTGCTAAGATTACCCATCAGTAAACGCAAATTTGATCACAATGTCTGACGAAAAGAGTGGAACAATGCTATTAACAAGACTTAAAGACAGGTTTTTTAGAAAATAAATTAGAGGACAATAAAGTCCTTTGTCAGTTGTCGGTAAAAGCCAAGGCAAATGTAAGTTCGCATTTTTTTGACTAGGAGATTTTTTCGTTATCAGTTGAAAAAAATAATAATAAAATTAATTTTGAAAAATTTAAAAATAAATAAATAAAGTTAAAATTTTGGTCATTTGTGAGTTTCCAGCTAACCTCCGAGACCCTTTAGTCGTGATAATGTAATTGAATGTTTTTCTTGGTAATTTATTCAAGCTTAGTCCTACCTTCATACTCATACCTGCAATTTTGGCGTTGTATGCTAGTCCCACGCCGCAAAAACTGTTATTGGCAACACCAGCTATAACTCCAGCGCATTTGTTGCCATGACTGTAAGAAACAAATAGAAAAAAACATCTTTCTCATGTATTCACCAGGTTTAAAATTCACCATCACATTTCCATAGGCACTCTATCATTGCGCGCCTATTAAGCACATTATCGATATTCCACTGAGTCCTAGCAGCATGCAGGACGTTTTTCACATAAAGCTGGTTCAGTGACCTTAGCTTTCACGAGCCTTCTGTAGCTTATACTGTAGCTTATAGCTTTAGTGTCGATTTAGGGGTCAGAGCATGATATGCAGAGGATTGCAGGTTTGTCATCGCTGATTGACTCCAAAAAAAGCTTTCTCGTAGCATTCAACAATCATGCATACATTGCGGTTGTTATGCCCATGCGTTTTCAAAGAACGTTTTAAGTTTGAATCGTTTTTTTTCCTCAAATTTACAGCTGCATTTGCAATACAGCAGGAGTCTAACAAACACACTATCAAAGAAATGCAAAGGGAAGATAAGACCAGCCTCCTCGCTGCACAGGCTTTTCAAGCCGGATCGTGCGAGCCGAGGCTGACTAGAAACAAGCGAATTGCGCCATGCGTGGTATCAAGATAAGGATGAGTCCTCAACTTTCACTGTCTCGTCGTCTTTAGCTGTTGCGCCTAGATCATGTGAGATGTCTCTAAACAGAGCAGCCTAAAGACATTATATAGTCGTAGTTTATTACCACTGTGACCATAGTCACACATGGCATATATATATGGACTGCCAAGCCATTTGTTCGAAGCCAAGGCGGCACACGCAAGTGTGTATGGGACGAGGCTAATAGCCTGCGTAGCAGGCGCTTGGAAGTAATGAGGACAAGAAAGAACAGAGCGTGCGAGGAAGACTCGCGGGGGGTGGGGAAGGCGCTCTGTGTCTCTCTCCTTTCCGTGTCTCTCTCTCGTGCGCCCCGTTCTTTTCTGCGCCCATGACTTCCAAGCGCCTGCTACGCAGGCTACGAGGCCAATAAATATTTTACTTGAAAAAAGCTGCAATCGCTGATTTCTCTGCTTGTTCAACATCATAGAATCACCAATAACAATGTGTTTTATATTAAGCCGGCCATAGCACTCTCCAATAAAAAAATATGATATAAGTCGGGTTAATCATAGAAAGAAGGTGGTAAACCTTCTGTATTTTTTAACTCATTAACACAGGAAGGCTCTAATAATAACGAATTAGTTTCAAGATGGGAATGCACCAGAATGCACGTCTTGACAAATGCCTGTCAAAATTTAATGCTCGGCGTGCCCACTGATAATACTCCTCGTTTACTCCCCAAAATTTTGCATAAGCATGTCTTTAATTTCTCTTGAGAAGAGCACTAGGTGTAATACCCAGGAGAAATTGGAAACAACAGTAATGAAAATTTTTTGGGAGATAAACAAGGTGTATTATGGGTAATGTGAAAATCGTTAATTGAATAAGTGAGTCATTGGGAACTCAAAAGTCCCCGGCATTCATGCAACATGTTAGACGTTGTTGGTTTAACCACCCATTCCAACACTGCCCAAAGTTGGATGCTACAGATGTATGTTAGATCTGTTTTTATGGGTCCTGGGTACGGGCACTTTGAGGCTAGGCCTTTCCAGATTCTGCTTGGCAACCTTTTAGCAACTTTTAGGATTTTGAGCAACATTTTTGTCAGAGAGCAACTTCTAGCAACTTTTCGGAAAACTAGCACTTTTTTGGTAACTTCTGGACTATTTTGAACCAAAATGCTGAATAACCCCCTTTTTTTAAAATAAACAAGTTAAAATTCTAAACATCTTTCTAGTAAAACTCATATTTTTACCCTTTGAATGGGTATCATGTGGACGTGGTAATTAATTACAAGAATTGGGTTTGGGTAGCCTCAACCTCGTTCCCAGGGCTTTTCCCTTCTCCTGGGGGGCGCCCCCCACGAGAAGAGAAAAGCCCTAGGAACGAGGTGGGGGTAGCCTGTGGACTGTGCGTAAACAAAATGGCGGACGCCAGGTTGTTACACTTACTGTCTAACTTTTTGTAACTAGCCACTTAGATTCAACCAAAGGTTGCCTAATTTGTTGTAACTAGTTACTTAGTTGTACCTTAATGTTGATTACAAAGCAATTGTTATTAAAATTAGACATGCTGTCTTAAAAATATTGGAGCAACTTTACAAAATTTTTGAGCAACTTTTTCAATTTTGAGCAACTTTTGAGCCACTTTTGGCATATTTTTTAGCAACTTTTTAGCTTTTTCGGAGCAGAATCTGGAAAGGCCTGTTTGAGGCTACAATGAGGGATAAAAGTGTTGAGACACCTCTGTAAAATGTCCCCTTTTAGTAGTAGACATATCTATTCCATCCCCCTGTTGTACTTTCACCCTCTCAGTAGTCTTTCTTTCTCACAAACAACATAAGCCTGTTTCAGGCTCTCAGATAGCGGGGAAGAAGCGAAAGTGAAAGGTACGCGAAAAGGGGGACGGGATAAAAGTTCCCTCTCGTTTTATTTTCATGTTCGCTTTTTCTCAATCCACGCGGACCGACTATTTTGGAGCCTGGAACAGGGTAAGCCAGCATTGATTTGGGGTGGGGAGATTTACGGCATTTAAACAGAATGAAATAAAAAATGAATGGAACTGTTGATAAAAGCGCGCGTTAGACAAGTGAGTCAACTACTTAAATCCCTGATTGATACTGAATGTCACTTACCCTGTCACTGCGCTCCCGTTTGGACCTGGTATTGGATCATTTTCCATAAAGTCATAACTTGCTGTTGAATTCTGAACCAACAAACGAATATCATCATGATCAACGATTATAGTTTAAGGTGGACGCAGTCACAGATAAAAAAAAAACAACAACAACAACAAAAAGAAACGTTTACTGTTATTAGTTAACATATAGATTTAGCCAGGGCTAAAAGCGAGGTTCCCATTAATAAATTTATAATTTAAATCAAACAATAAACTTGTAATCCACAAATCAGTTAACTTTAGGGCTCATTCAGGTGCCTTTTCAGGGAAAGGTTAAGTCATGTTAGAGGAAAATCATTTGCAGACAGTCCAAGAGTGAAACAAATCTTACATCGAGTTGATAGCCTTATTTTTATGTAAAGTTAAAAAAGAGCAATCATCTTCGATCACATTTAAGAGCTATAATGGCTCTTGATCACAGTAGATTAGGCCTGGAAAACAAAATCAGGCCGAATTTTATGCGTTCGAAAAGTTTACTTCACAAAATCTTGCCAACAAATTGGGTGGCGTGTAAACCAGCCTTTCATACTTTTTATACATCACATCTGAGGTAAACAATACTATGAGGCGCTGTTTTTATCATACAGGCCTTTCACAGAATGCAGTTTTCACAATTTTGCAAGACAAATTGAACCCATGCAATATTCGGGACGATCGAAGCACGCGCTTCCTTTGCACAGCAAATTATAGAATTGACCACATTATAAAATGTTTTCATGAAGAGAATTCCATATAGTCGCCCTGTTCAGTCATAACAATTTTCTTCTATGTGGTATGCAGGGTAATAATAGGCTTTTAGGGAAACCGTTCAAAAAAATTCCAAAATCACCTACGGTCAGCTAGCCTGAGAAAACAGCAGACATATCGAGACGCCACCAACGGTTTTCCCCGCGAAATGACGTCTGAGAAACGAGCGCAGAAATTCCATACTGATGACGCGTCACTACCCAGATCTGGGTAGTGCTTCTGACTGGTTGACTGGGTAGTGACACGTCATCAGTATGGAATTTCTGCGCTCGTTGCTCAGACGTCATTTCACGAGGAAACCTTTGGTGCCATCGCGAAATGTCGGCTGTTTTCTCAGGCTAACGGCCAGCCTGTTCTTAATTTTGACAAGCTCCAAATTTGTCGTGTGAGCTGTCATTTGTCTGAATGAACATTTATTGAGTTACGCAGGCGATGTTAATGTAAGACTGAAAACAATCAATAAATATAATTCGGTGAAACATTTACAGCGACGAAGGCAAGTATTGAGATTAAAGTGTCCCTTTAAATCCTGAGTGATGTAAGCATATAAGGTTAAAACCAAACTAACAATTAGATTTATGTTTTAAGCCGACTTGCCGGCCGGAGTTTGCTATTTTTCAAGATGAACTCGAGACAAGAAAATCGCTCAAAGCTTTCTTTTTACACCCAATTTATTTGCAGTTAGAAACTGTCTAAAGGCTTTTTAAAATTCTGTATATCAAACCTGATAATTGGTCAGATTAGTGTCTCAAATCTTACAAACGTCCATAAAAAAGCTAGCCACATAAACTACGCTCGACTTCATGAAACCGGGAAAAGAAACAAACAAACGTCAGCAAATACAATAATCACTCAGGCTTACCGGTCGAGATGCAGCTCCTGAAAGTCGTCAAGTAAGACCAGAATCGCTTGAGACTTTTCAACCCTCTTACTTATCAAGCAAGGTGAAAAACGAAAACTATGTCATTTGATTCGGATTCCCGATGACTTTGACAAGCGGCGCATTTCTCAACCAAAATCTCAATAAACAAACCAGCCATGAAGAACGGAAGAATCTTGATAGCGGCTGTACTTCATTTTGTACATCCAGTGGAAAAAGACAGTTAAAAACATCACAAGATGACGAAACAAAACTCTGTCAGCTTCAACCATCGGTAAACAAGTTTCCAGATCTGCATAAACTTTCCGCATGAACTCAGCTGTCAAATTTTGACTAATCAGCATAGGTAAAAACTGAACGTAGAGCGTGACCAACGCGTGACCATGGCGGGAAAAGTCATAAGCAACTGTTTTCCTTGCCCTGCCTGTAATAGCTGGCTGAATTTTCGCGTCCGGGGTCACTTTGAAATCAAATGATTGTACGTTATCTTAAAAATGTAAAGTACTTTTACAAAGTTATTCTCACATTATGAGAAAAATATGTTCAGTGTTATAACGTAAATGCCTTGTATTTTAATTGTTACGTTTTAAAAGCAAATCTTAAACTTTAACGTTAACATGTAAAATTCATTCTAAATAAGAAAAATCTGCTGATTTAATGGACGAAATAGAACAATAAAAATGATCTGTTCTTTTCAGGTAATTATTATATTAAGTGATACTCATATATTTAGGCCATTACATAGTTTTTGGCTAGTTCCGGGTGATTTCCATCCACTCCCGTATCAACCACTGCCACAAGAATTCCTCTCCCAGTGTACATCGGCCACACGGAAGTGATGTTTAATGTTGGCCCTTGAAGTCTGTCCTAAGAGATGAAACCAATATGATGCACTAATTGATCAATCAAATCAATGTCACAAATGAATTTACTAGGTCCTTTGGTAGCGTCCCTTACGGAAATTAACAATTTATTCTATAAAATCGAGGTTGGTAGTGGCTGGTTATATTTTTACCGAGCCTCCAAGCGGTATGATAAATACTGTCTTCCCCAAGCCACTTTTTACTGAGATTGAAAAGAGTATATATATAGTAGTTCAATTTTGCTCATGGTGCAAATTGTCTTTGTACTGCTAAAATTGTTTTTTTTTTTTATTTTTACCTGATATATGTACAAAATTATTGATCCAGTACAAAATTTATTAAAATGGTCCCATTATATCTTTTTAAGAAATAGTCTTAGTTGATAGAAGCAAATGCAGCTCTACAGCTTTTTTCACAGTTGTCATCATTGTTCAGTGATTGTTTTACATTGCTAACATGATTTTTGTGCTATACTTACAATGTACCACTGTTCTTCAAACATAGGGTCATTAAAACGTGTGGACAGAAGTTTGTACTTCTTTTCCTTTTGCTGCATAAACCATTCGACCTGAAAAATGATTTAAATGAAAGAAATATCAGCACAAAATATCAAGAGATGAAAAACTTTTTACAAATACTGCCTATACATAAAGAGCGATAGAAGATTTGTTCTGTTAGTGTTATTATTGAGTAAGAACATTAATTTTGCAATTTACAAGACCTGAGAAATAAACCAAAATAGAGAAAACATTATCATACTAAACAAAAATGTAATTGCAATTATAGTTAGAACCAAAAGCCCATAACACGGAGCAAGCAACTTCCATTGTACTCCGTCACCGCGTTTCCACCGACCAGTAAATTTTTAAAAGGATTTTGTTTCCAATTAATGATGTCTTTAATTTCTACAAACCAGGTCAGCAAAACCTAGAGATCTGAAAATTGTATTATTTTTTAAGTTATCTTTTAATGATGTTTAGTTTACCTATTTTACTCTGGATCTTTTAATTCGAATGCGTTCGAGACAGAACGGAGCTTCAATTTTGGCGGGAACTGAAAAGTGCTCTATAAAAGCTAGCTAAAATGAAGTGGTCTGTGAATCCCGCTTCTTTCAATGCTTTGTTTGCTACGTTTAATGCACAATTCACCATTTTCACATAGACCATAATGCACCTTGTTTATCCCCCAAATTTTGCAAATATGGTCTATGTGAAAATGGTGAATACTCATTCTGACGTCATTTCGATGGAAGAGAGGCTTTTCCTCGGGCAAACTATAATGTTCTCTTCTTGACACTGGATTTACCATCTTAACTCTTGTTAATGTATATTCTCGTATTCCTAGACTACATTACATATCTAAACAAGCCCCAACAGGGCCTGCTATTTTTTTGTTACTTGACTCACCAATGCTTTACTTACTGTCCAAAATTTCTTATTTTCTTCCGTAACAGTTCTAAACACCTTGATGATTTTACATGTTGACAATTCCCAGGATTATTTTCCAGAAGTACCCACAGTTTTTCAAATCCACCCGCAACCCCCTCTTCACCCTGGTGAGGTGATTATCTCTCTTGGTGGTAAGAATGTGTTCTACATGCAGCAATTAAGACCCTCGCCTCATTTGTTGGGCTAAAAGTAGTTTAGCTTTTTGTTTTGAAAAACAATTTGACAACAGTTAAAGAAAGATTTCATAGGCGTTTTAGCTTTTCTCAGCAATTGCTTGTTTTTCTGCAGTTTAATATTTCTTAGCTGAGTTTTTCTATTTTGTTTTAATTTATGATTATGAACATTTTCCTGAGGTAGGCACGTTCGTATTGGCGTACAGGTAACTATAACATGCTGATTACTGGCTTCCAAATATTTATATCATTTAATTAAAAAACAACTAACCTTTTTCTCCAGACTTAGCTTTCTATCAATTTCATATGCCTCAGGTGTCTTTTCAGACCTCGGCTTTAGGTCAGGCCTTTTAAAAACGTGATAGTCTTCAAAGAGCTGTCGATATCAGTGAAAACATGAGTTAGGTTGAGTTAATATGACGAAAAAATATCTCATAAATGTACGGAGTTCTAACAAATCTTAGTACGCTGCATCACAGTGACTGTACAGCTGGTGAGACCTCACTTGCAGAAGATTTAAGATAATGTTAAATATTTAATGTTATAGTCTAGGAGCAATGGTATTCCCGTGGGATTTTCGTGATGATTTCAAGCGACCAGTGCAAAACTGATAAAGGGGACCCAAGGAACATGTTAAATGTTGTCGGCACTTTTGTATTGAGTGCAGAGGATCTTTAGAAGGCGTTAAAAGAAGAGCACTGTTCTGCCCTGCATGAGAACGAGGCTGAACAATAAAACCACTGAAAATGGCCGTTTATTGGAATTTTGGGACAAACTAGAATCAGTTTCGATATTCTGGGATGTTTTACTTAATAAGTAGTTGATGGTGACACTTGCGTGGTCACGTGACCCGAAGTAGAGACTTAATACAATTTTACCCTTAAAGAGTACTAACATTAATACCTTTTCACATTGACAAATTGAAAGCCATATTTTTCAACAAATTTCGACTTTCGAATCTTTCTACACCTCACTGCCAGGATCCTCGTCGTCAATTTTTAGTGTATTAGTATCTTCACATGCATTTTCACAGGGATCATCACTGTCACAGCAAGACTCAGAGGTAGGCGTAATTCAGGCCTGATTTCCGGCAGTGGCATCGATTATCAGTGTGAGCATCGGTTCTTTCACAGCCGCACTTGACCAATAGGACGATTTCTTCAGGAGCAGGTGCTTTCTCTGTCATAACGGGGATCCATTTATCCTCCCTTTTCTCCCACAGAATCCATGCATCTGGCTGTGGCAAACTAGGACAGCACACTTTATCATTGTGCCAAACTATCATTGTGATAGTGGGCGCGGAGAATTGCTTCATAAAACGACCGTTCGTTTGGTGGAAGCCTATCCGATTCGCCTGATTTTATTCTGAACATACATGCAAGCCATCTTAGTTCCTTGACTTGTGAGATACCGGTTCCAGGCTGATAAAGCTGGCTTATAAACTTCTCCACAAGGACCAATATCTCGTCTCGGGGGATGCTCTGTGGCTCTTGAAGGCTTCCCAAAGCAGTTATGGTATACTCTGCTTCCATGAATGTTTTCCAGCTTAAAAGTTTCCCTTTAACAGATATCAGCGTGGAACGCTGGAAATGCAGCAAGTTTAACACTAACGAGGGCGCTAGCTATTGGACTAAAAGTAAGACCAATCACACGATGGTTATCACCCGTAGCAAAGACAAACCATGTCTTCACACACAGCCCCGGATAGCGCCTTAGAGGCACAACTAACATCTGTGTCTGGAGAATGGATATAAAGCTCCATTGGACCGTTAGCAGTTGCGTCCAGAGCATGTAACAACATCTTGGTGTCTGCTTCTTCTTGATCACTTTGAAGATGGCTCCCATTTTGTTGTGTTGCACGACACTGGTAACCCCAGGCCCCAAAAACTTGTAGATTTGTCTTCATAGCATGATCTAGGAACTTCTCTGCCGGGTAGCTAGATAGCTCGTTCCCGGTCTTACTATGAGAAAAGCGTGGGATTACTAGTACGTTGATGTACGGGATCTTGACCAGCCAGCCTGTTTACTAAGGTAGCTGCTTTCAGACACATTGGCAAGTCATATCTATCGAAAATCAGACAGACGTCATCATTGGACTTGTACTTATGGATGATTCTGGCAGCAAAGCGCTCAGCTCATTGCGAACAGTCCTTGATATGGACCGCCTTGTAGAGAGATTGACGTTCTGCCAATTTATGGCGTCAACAAAAGCAACTCGCAGCTGGGATGAGGGTTCCATATTTACTCTTTCATTCGCACTAATCTGAGGACCAGTGGTCCGTCTCTTTGCTCTGATTCACCACCAAACGCTTAACTTTTCAAGAATTGTCATCAAAGCGCTCTTTACAAAAGAGTGAAGCATTTTACCATCGGGTGCAAACAAAGACCTGGGAACTGCAGAAACCTCATAATGGCCAATCACTGAAAAGAACCATTTTGTGCAGCTATTCATTGCCTACCGAAACAAGAGTGCAGCTTCAAACAGTACATTCATTTGTTTTGAATCGTCACTACTTTTCTTTTCTATTAGATGAATGGTGCCATCCCGTGTCTTCTTAATGCTCAGTTGGTCTGATTCGTTAGCTTTTGGTGGTCGGTGAAATTCCACTTCAGGTATCAAAATTTGAGTTAACGGTTTTAGCGTTTTTCGATAGCATAAATCCTCATGGACATTGTTTGTTTCAATGAATTCTCCCATAAATATGCCGCTTGTAAGTCGGGCATAGTCAATATCATACCTTTTCTTAAGTTGATTTCTGTCATTGCTGAAAACTCTGTACGTAAGGGCTGGGTAGCAGAAGTAAAAGGGCTTTCCCGCGAGACTCACGGCCGTCACAAAAGAAGCACCTATCTATGTTAAAAGGTGATGTTTTAGATCTCGTTAGCCGCGGCGGTATTTCCTCTGGCGCCACGTTTGAAATCTTCCGTCTGGTTTCATTAGGTCCAGCCAACTCTCTCTCTTACCGTTCTCTTGCTCGCCTAAGCATTGCCTTATAGACCGCGAGCAGTCTCTCTTTTGCTCGAAAATCTGTGAGCGATTGCGATGACCCTATGGATGGCGTCCTTACACCACTTGAAAACTGCCTGTGCCACGATGCTCCTTTATCCTTAAGCTTTTCAGCTGTAAACGTTTTTAATTTTGACCAACTCTCGAAATATTCTAAACGGGCGTAAGACGGCCATTCTTGTATGCAGTCAATACTCTGTCACGAGAAGTCGGTTTCTCTACAAGTCTTTCATTTGGCTTAATTTTGGCCACAAATAATACACAAATTTAAATTGAGGTCTTTGGTCTCTCCAGTTTCTGTAGAACTGGACATTTAGACTGGGTAAAAGACGTAACGGCAATATATGTCCCAGATGTTCATGTGGCAACACACAACACCAAACCAGAAAACTGGAATATGTATTAGCAAGTGCAATGAAGAAAAAAAAAAATAGCCTATTGATAACTGTCATAGTTTGAAAATGGAATTTCTTATTTCATTATAAAAGCAGTCTAGTTTATAGCTGAACTTTTAAGTGCCAGGGAGAAAAACATTTGTTGCAGGACAAACTACTTGTTCTCCCACATTGATATTCCAAGGAATGTTACTTTCATCTGAGGCAACTGACTTCTTTTGAGCTAAAAATCTGGATTTTTACCTTTTACCAATGCACTAGAGGTAATTAAACATTCCTAGATATCTTATGAATATTACTTTACATTTACAGAAAAGAAGGTGATTGAACAGCCGTTTTTTAAGCATTTCCAAATCTTAGCCTCGTTTTCACGTATAACTCAATGGACATTTTTTTAGTGCCCCTTAAATACCTCCTGCACGAATTAAAGAGGTGCCGACAACATTAAACATGTTCCTTAGGTCCCCCTCAACACTTCTACACTGTTCGCTTGAAATCCTCTCAAAAAACCCGCGGAAATTTTTTCAGCGACATAGCTCCCTGACTGTAAAGAAAATAATCCGCTTTTCTTTACCTTTTCTTCTCTTTCTCTCTCTTTTTTAATTTGAAACAATCACCTAAGAAGTGTAGTCGTTCAGTCAGAGAAAACCTACACAAGCGTAATATTAGACTGCAGGGCTCATTTTCTTTTTTCATGTTTTGCAAAACAGACAAACCTCGAGCGCTCACTTTCTTTCGGGTCTAAAGAATAAATAACGCGCATGACACTTTACAGTCAAGCGCTCTCCAATACAATGGTTACTATTCTCTCTAGATTTGTTTTAACTGGGAGAATGAAATACACTCGTCAGAATTGTCAACCCCAGAGAGAGAAGGTAGTGGTTAAGGTCGGAAGCCTTTAATCTACTTCGTGTGACGACGGCTTGCACTTCTTGTAACAAGTCCTAGTATTGGCTGAGAAAACAATGAAACAAACAAAACAAACAATGAACCCTAACCCTGAAACAGTGCAAGCTATGGAGAGCTAGTAAAATAAGAGGTTACTGAGAGGTGCTTGGCTACCGAGCATGTGACAGCTTTACATGGTGTTTGGTTTGCCTGCGTTCGATAAAGAGAAGAAAAACCGGTTACTGAGAAATTAGAGAAACCCCGCCGATCGACGTATTATGGTTCCCAGTCCCGAGCGAACAGCAGCGCAAGTGTCCCATTACCGCATTCTTAGATCACAGAGTAAGACAATTCTCACGAACCATAATTCTGATACTAAATCGTCTTTGTTTGGTCATGACGTTTGCTTGAAAAGCAAGCCATATACCTTCTCAACATTCTCGGCATTCAAGATACAAAGTTCCGTAAGCCTGTAAACTAAAATAACGAAGAAACCAAACGGCACCGGGCGTCCATCTTGGTGCTTCTCGCCAGAACAGAACAGCAACTTCGCAATCGGATGTGGCGTCATAAATCGGTACAAAGTTCACGCTCACCCCCGCCCCCGGACCTACATGACACGGAAATGTTTGGAACAAGTATCCCGTATCCTACCGTAAGGTTGATTTCCACTGACGCGTTTTTGGCTACGCACATTAACGCACTTAAATTTTAATCACGCAAATAAAATAGAGGCAAGATAAAAAGTGCTGAGCTCAAACGATAAGTTTAGCGAGGTTCAACTTTTACGCTTACGAGGGACCTTTCACGCATTGCCTCTATTTTATTTGCGAACGCAAATTTTACGCACGTACGCACGTTAAAATTACGTGACACTGGAAATCAACCCTTATCTTCTAATTACATCGTTACGTTGTGCTCACTCCTGATCACTAGGGTATATATTATGTGTGATACGAAACTTTTTTAATCATTCAGACCAGAGGCTCTGTTTTGTGGATAGTTTATATCTGATAGTTAACAATCGATAGCAAATTCAAGAATAAACTTACCTGTTTGCTGTACAGGAAACCATGTTTGCTGGCTACTTGCTTCGCCTCCAATTGGCCATCGGGAATTTTTACTGCCCAGATGTTTGTCAAAATTTCTTTGGCAAAAATCTCAGTTCCATTTAGCACTACCAACCACAGAATTAAGCTCGAACACCTTGTTCTCGTGTCTGCCATCTTTGCAAACGCCAGGCCTTACAACTTCCTGTTTGCATGATGCAAACAACTGTTTATATTTTATATTATACCCAGATCGCGGAAATTGCGCTCACAAGTAAACTAATCTTGCTTTTAGAAACCTCGTTGACAGGCTGTACGACAGACAGAATTAAGGAAGAAAATACATGTTTCGTAATAAACAGGGGCACCCAGTGTCAATTTTCGGAAAATATCTGGTCGGAAGACGATTTGAGATCTAGAATTTTTGGAACATTTGTTGTAAATTAAAATTTCTTGCTTGTCTGCCTCTCCAAGGATTTTCGAACATCTAAAAAATGGTATAATTGCCCATTTTTAACGGATTTTTATCCTAAAAAAGTCACCTAGAATTTTCGGGAGCCTTTTTTTCGCCTGAAATTTTCGAAAAGGTGAGTTTTGATCCCTATAATTTTAGGATCACTAGTCTTTCAGCTAGGAAATCCGAACAGATGAAAAAAATTTTTAGGGGAGAAAAATATGCCTATATCCATCGTTTTAAATACTAAAATATGTTTAACAATGCTATGTTTAAGTGGTTTTGAACTACATTCTCGTTGGGCCCCTGAATAAAGCGAGGGTGTTTATTGAAGATGGGGCGCTTGGTGAAAATGATGGCACTTTTGAGGCAAAGAAAATCGTAACACCAATAAACGCTAAGCACGGTAAAAAACGTTTTCAATCGGTAAACTGTGACTTCTCTCCGTTTAAGCATAGTTCACTTCGTTGACGAAAAAGAAAACATCTTGTACCGAACGTGACGGTTCGTGTTAGCAAGTACATTTAGTCTAGCAATGGGGAGCTCGAGAATTTATGAAGCTGAGTTGGTAGCAATAAAAGAACTTTGCTTCTATCAGAGGATCAATAATAAACTATAATAAACTGTTTATTAAATCACCATTACATTTTAAAAAAACTGAATTACAGGGATAAAATACAAGGTTCAAATATTTACACTATTTAACAGCGCTATATGCTACTACTTTAAGCATCCCAGTGTACGATTGATTGAAGAAAATAAATGAGCCAGAACGCTTTGTACGGCACATGTTCTTGTTGTTACATGCCTTGGTATTACTGGTCGTCTTTGTCCAGAGCTTGTGGTCATGAGTGCGACCCCTGCTACTATGTAGTAAAAAGCGATTTGGGCGACTAATATTGCGTAATTTTGGTATGTATTTGTATAGGTAATAGCCTGATTTATAGTGATATTTGGCATAAATACCACGAGTGATATTTCGAAATTGTTATAAAAAATTTCACGAGCTATTAGGTGAGTAGCTGCGAGTGAAATTTGCGACAGTTTTGCAATATCACGAGTGGTATTTATGCCAAATATCACGTACAAATCATGCTATTATTTGTTTATGTTGTGGTTCAAATTTATCCTTGGTTTACGTTTTATTTTCTTTTGTTTCAAAATCATTATCATACATTACCATACCCAAAAACAAAAGAAAATAAAATTTAAACCAAGATTGAAATTGAACCACAACATTTATACCACTACCCACACAAGGTTTGTAATTTTCACATGTAGGTATTTCAAATTAAGCTGAAATACCACTGCTCTAAGCCAATCAAATTGCAGAAATTTCTCATGTAGTAGCATAACATGCATAACTGACTCCTCCTCACTGCGAGGCTTGAAGTTTTGGCCGAACTAAGGGCGTCTATATATAGCTAAAGGATGGATATATAATAGACAGGTCCCCTCTCTGAACTGATTCAGGTTATGGCAAAGGAAGGCAGGAATGTCCTGCCACACCTGAGCACCATATTCTAAAATAGGTCTTATGGTGGTCAGGTAGACTAGAAGGATTAGTTTGTTAGGTACTCCTTCTTTTCTTTAAGATTCGCAATGAGAATAGCCGCTTTGAGGCCTTCTTAAAAATGTAATCGATTTACTAGGTAGTTCCTGATCGTTACTGATATACACTCTGAGAAGTTTATCGGGTGGGGACGCGATCCACAACGTTATTGCCAAGAATTATGCATCGGTGACAACACAAAGTTAGCGTTAAAGTCAAGACAAGAAGAAGACTTTGGCATTTCCATTTAATTCTGAGTCGACGAGGGGGTCGGGCACAGGGTCCAGAAGAGATGTGTTTGTCGTTAGAACATGTCAAAACCCGTCGAAAACCTCTGAAAAAATGGGTTATTTTGATCGCGTTACAGTATCGTTACACATTCTATAGACCGCAAACCAAGAGACTGAGGGCTGAGGGCTCCGTGCCTCGGTCGCCCTTCGGGCGGCGTGCCGTGCGCCAGCGAGGATATGGCTTGCGGTTATTGATTTTCAAAAGTCGATCTGGGTCAGATAAGAAGCGAAGAAATCGTTTACAGTAGATTTATAAAGATCCCATTGTGCTAATTAATCGTGCTAAGCGACAGGTATAGACATTTTTCAAGGTGAGACTTTAAATAAGTAATTCATTTATTCACACGAAAGTCCTCTGGACCCTGTGGTCGGGGTGGCGGTTTCAGTGGCCCTTGCTCGTCAATTCCTTTTGACGTGAACGCCGGGGGGTACTGGTAATTCTTGGTGAGGATGTGCCGCGAGGCTCTTCCTGTCCTGACCCTACTTCAGCCCAAAAAAGTTATTTTTCACAGGCAGAAATTACATCATTATTCAACTTACATTAAAAAGATTTGTTAAAAATCTATTTCAATTTTGCGTATTACTTAGTTCTGTCTTATTCATTTGGAATTGAAACGACAAATACGCTCATACACTTCCCGTAGTCCCTTTGAAACAAATGCTCGATTCCAGACCAAAATGGGCAAAGTCTATACCCGCCCGTTTTCAGACCACAACGACGCAAAAACCAAACCCTTTGGGGTGGCATATCCTATATTCTGCATGTATAAGGGAGTATTCCCCTCTCCCGGACGTGAACGCTGCTTAAACATTTACCGATTAGTAACTTCTTCTAAAAAATCAATAACGGGTCTTGACCCCAGTTTTTACAACCCACGCGCTTGGATCAAGTGTTCTATCTTTACTTGATTTGACTTCCGGCAATCATATATGATCTAGCTTGGCTCCTCACGGTTGATCGAATTTTGAAGAGGATAATGAGAATATTCTTGCATCAAGACTAGAGAACGAGTTTCGACTCGTTTTCCATAATACATTCCAGAATTTTCTCTGATCAAAGTTTCAGCACTTTTCAGCGCGATTTGTCGAGCACTTTCTTTCATCTAACCAGACATTGCAAATGGATAAACGCACAGATGGATACACACCAAAGATTCGTGTGTCTCGTGGGATATTTTACGGTATAACACTCGAACTCATCATTGCATAAATATAAAAGAGTTATTGTTTAAACTTAATTTTTAACTGACAGTTAACGAAAAAGCTTAAGTCGTTGTAATGTTTATAATTTGTAGTTCAAGGTGTAAGTCTAACGTCAATATTTCATGAATTCGCCAAAAATGGTCAGCACAATGCAACACTGCAGTATCCACAGCTTCTGCAGACTGTAAATAGCCCGGCGTAACCACTCCAACTGTTCTTTATTCGAACGTTAAGTTCGTTTTCCGAACTCTCAATCGAACTTACATTAAATCGAACGCTCTGGAACCAACACTCAAAATAGACAAGGATTCTGAGAAGTTCTTTAAAGCGTGAAAAGAATCAGAAAAGCAGCAAAGAAATCAAAGGGAAGTCAGCCGAAAGAACCAAAAAAGAATCAGGTGAAACCAACAGTAGATTGCTGACTGTACAAACGTGGAGGAGTTCTGAACGTGCTGGTGCGATTGACTGTGACACTGTAAAGATGGAAACTCTTTAACGAAGCATAATATTCACTCTGTTATTGAAGAGGTCGATTAAAGGGATTAAAGGATAAAGTTGTATGGCAATAAAGATTTGTTCTTCCTGGGTATTCTTGTATATCTTTTCGCTCCAAAAAATACGCTACACTGATCCACTACAACCACTTCCGGAATATACTCAGCTATACTTAGTCGTAAGACACCTTAGAAACGGCAGACACTCAGCAAAACACGCGCAATTTTCCTAACGTCCCATTTTTAATGAAATACATGCCAAATGTGACCATCGAACCTAATCGAACTTAATCAAAGTTCGATTGGGTTTGATTACTGGAACGGTTTTTTGAGAGTTCGATCATGTTCAATTATACCGAACTTAATGCATGGAACCAAGGGTTCTTTATCGAACCTAATCATTCGACTAAATTCGATGGAGTTCGAGTTAAGTTCTATAATTTATAATAAACTTTCGATTTGGTTCGAGTGGTCCCTGGGGCTGATATTTTTCAAAGGCCATCTGTGAGGGGCTAATTTTTGGCAGGGCTTATGTACGGAGAGAAATTTGCGTCTCAAAATCGGCTAGGCTTATACTGGGAGGGAAATTTAAGTCTCAAAATCTATTGGGCTAGCTTATAATTGGAAGGAAATTTATGTCAGTAATTTGCAGAAAGTTTTTACTGAAACTCGCCTTGAGGACGTAGATCTTATTAAAACTCAGCCATGCAAGTAGTTTGTCTATATGGAATGAGGAAATCCAAGCCAAGAGTTAAGAGTGAACTCAATACGCAAACAGCAATATACTGTGACACTTTTTGACTGCAGTCATCTGGAACACGTAATAGTTCTTTGGCAAATGCAAAAATTTATGTGTTACTGTGTAGTTGCTTTCTTTTATTTTGAATATGAGGGCAATTTCCAAGAACAAGCCCCCGGGGACTATATTTTGAGGGACGATTTAACGGAAGGTTTTTTTGAGGTTTCGAGTTTTGGGGGCTTATATTTGGAGGGGCTTATTTTTGGAATTTTACGATGGTCTGTATATAATGAAAGTCTTTCGTAAGGGAAAATATTAATCCTTTGCATATTGCCTTCTAGAGTCAAATGCCCCCAGCAACCGGCAGCCATTTCTCAATGACTGGAGTTTATTTATTCAAGACAACTCGAACGACCGGGCTGTTGGCTATTTCATTTATCTGAGG